TCAGCTTTTAACCTTTCACAAAGATGATGACGAAGTAATATCATTACATTGCCCTTATCTTAACTACTTGCTTTATTTCTAGGTAAAATTACATTTTCTATACCTTTGACATATAGATGAATTTGAACATCTAGCATCTACGACAAATAATTCTTTCCCATAATATTAAGAGCCATAAATTCAAGTTTGATAATATTTTTCATGATTCAAATTAAAATAATAATAAAAATTAAAATTATGAAAAAATTAATAAATAAATATTATAGTAAAAAAATCCTTCACACACACACACTAAAATGATAATTAACCATGAATGAATTATAGAATATAATTCATAATAAGATACAATATAAAAAAACACAAATATAAATAATCAAATGTACTAAATAAATAAAGCATAATAAAGATAAAGATATGCAATAAAGTAGATAAATTGATAGATAAAGCAAACAATTCATATGATAATAACAAATAAAATAAATTATATTAATAACATAAATTGATCAATACACACACATAAAAAAATACAAAATATTCAATATGTATATATATAGTATTAATTTAATGCAGGACTAAAATAATAGTAATAATAAAGATGACACCAACAACATAAACATAAAGAAAGAAAAATAAGTATATCAATATTCATAAAAATATAGAAGAATAAATAATAAAAATAAAGAAATGACTGATTAATGAGACTTGATTAAATTAAATTATTAATCACATGATTATTTTTCAATGAATAAAATAGAAGAATACAAAATCACTTTGTAACTAAGAAAAGGAAAGGATAAGAAAATAAAACAATAAATATAATGTAGCAAATATATAAACAACATAACCATAAATGTCAATAAAACAATAATATAAAATATAATTATATACATCATATTATATAAGAACACATTAATCTAGCTAAAATTTCATACTTGATTTTTAGAGACAATTCGTGCTGATAACGTATTATGAAAATAAGGAGAAAGAGAGAAAGAAAAGAAAATAGCAAGACAAGAAGAATTGAGAGAGAAAATAAAAAAGTATATTTTATTCACTTGGATGTCCTCATGTTTTGTACATGACCTATATTTATAAGCTTTTAACTATTAAAGCCTAATTCTAATATTACAAATGAATAAAGAACCACATAATAGCATAATATGTAACTTTTAGAGATTATATGTCATCAATTTTGAGAAACTCCTCCTAAGTCATTCATTGAAAGGTTATGAGAGATGAAAAATCTTAAATATTAGGAGTTATGGACATCCACTCATAATATTCATAATAATAAAGATATTTTAGATTTATTTTTTTATTATACCTTTACAGAAAACATTCGATATAAAAGCCAAAAGAAAAAGTAGTCATTTGGCTGTGGTTGCCGGTCGGACCTCGACATTTTTATGAGTTGTCAGAGATAATCAAGATTGGTTTTTGACATTAGCTCATCCTTCATGAATGATTCTAAGAAATTATTGGCTAAGAAAAGACACTAATTAATGTTTTCCAACGAAGAAGACAATCAGATGATTCAGAAAACAATTTCAGATTTGAAAAAAGAAGATAAGAAATAGAATCACAAAGTGAAAAAGATGATCGAAAGTAGAATGAAAGATTACAGATAGAGAAAACTTACGGCTCGAGAGATTCAGAGAAAGACCATAAGACGAGTTTGGGGATTGTTATGAACAAAATAGAATCACAAAATTGCCCTTTAAAAAAATTAAGTAACAAAAATTAATAAAATACAACAAATTACATGTCACTTATCAAACAATTTTAAAAAGTCTGATGTAGCATGCATTCTGTTAAATTCAATGGCCAATTTTAGCTACAGAGGGTTGATGGTCAAATTTTGAAGATTAAGGGTGTGATTTTTAAATTTGTTAAAATGAGGGAAGTTATATGCACATGGCTTATAGTTGGGGAGAGTTTTATGTATTTTGATTTTTGACCTAAATTAAATATGATTAAATTATACTTTTAGTTTTTACTTGTCAGGGTTAATGTTCATTTTTACCTTTTGAATTTTTTTAAGAAATGTTGGGCACTTTGTATTAATAAGTAGGGTAATTGTTTTTCTTGAATCATTTTTTCGAAGAGCAAAAAACTCCTTTTGTGAATCACTCATTAACTTTTTCTTGTTGACGTGACATGTAAGTGAGATCCACCACATATATTGACTGATAAAACTCTAACTATATCATTTTATATTAATTTACTCTTAAACACTTTTTCTAAAAGTGTTGGACATATTGAATTTTTGTTAAATAAAATTTAAGAAATGTTGTTAAAATATTAAATATATTAAAATTTAATAATATAAACATTATTATTTACAAATATTCTTAAAGAAACCGTTATGGAGGCCTGATGTTTCAAGTTCACTTTATTTTTTTAGTGTCCTGAGTGGGTCTGGATCATACCACCCAATTAGTTTTTTGAGGAGTACTTATCTTCCGCCTGAGGGAGCTAAATATTTAATGTAAAAATCGAACTCGCCTAGCAGCTCAAAAATTAATTTGTAAATGTTAGGAAAAATTAATCTTTTAATTTTTTAATTTTTAATTTACTTATAACTCAGTCCTTCAATTATGACTCGCCTACAAGTTAGTCTTTCAACTTTTAACTCACTTATAACTCTATTTCTTAACTTTTATTAGTTCTCTTTTTTCACATCAAAAAGTAAGAGGAAGGATATTTTAGAGCAATATATGAGAATTTCTTTTATCCTCTTATTTGGTAAGGATAATTTTTAAAAAAATTTAAAAAATATGGATTGAATTATAAGTAAGTTAAAAATTGAGGGATTGAGTTACAAGTAAGTTAAAGTTGAAGGACGAAAAGAATAATTTTTCCTAAATAATAATATTTACTTACAAATCTTTACACATAATTTACAAGTCATCAAAATTTTTTGTAAAATTAGTTTAAAATGTTAATATTTAAAAATAATTTATAATTTTTGGATCAATATTTATAAACAACAATATTTAAATTTAAATAATTAAATATTTAAATAATTTTTATTAAATTTTATTTTAATAAAACTTCAAAGTGCTTAGCGTCTCTAGAAAAAAAGTTTGAAAACAAATTAATACTCACACACATGTAACATCAGTAAAAAAACAGTAAAGTTAATCGATAATTAATGGAATGAGTTTTTTACTTATTAAAAAAAATAATTTTGAAAGAAAATTACCTCATCCATTAATATAAGGTGCGTAGTTCTCCTTGGAGAAAAATTCAAAAGACAATTGGCTTTAACCCAACTTGTTATTGGTCTCTTTCTTGGAACCATGGAGTTATTGATTTCTTTCTTTCTTTTTTTCTAGTGTGACCCTTCTTTATTTTGTTTTTGACACTTTTGCTTTTCATTTTATTTTGCCAAAGAATTATTTTCATTTTTAATAACAAAAAGAACTATAAAAATCGTGCTAGATAAGGGATAATGATAATTAAAGACTCCATAAAATCATTAATTGTAATTAAAAATTTTGAATTATTAAAATCTTAATAATGAACCATGATCCTTACTTGGAATTAAGAACATATGAGTTTAAAATTAAGAAAAAAATACTACTAAAATTACTATTATAAGTTATGACTATTGTTCATTTCAATTGGAAAAACTAGATAGGAACTATATTTGGGAATATGTTGTCTTTTCACATAAAACTAAAATTTACATGTGAAACTTTTGAAAGACACTTATGAATATACATTAGTCACTTAAAAATTTACCAAAGTCACTTCTAGATATAAAGCCAATCACTTGTAAAATTTTATGCGTGTCAATATATAAGTAAATCACTTAAAAAATTAAGAAAAAAATACTACTAAAATTACTATCATGAGTTTGGACTATTGTTAATCACAATTAAAAAAACCAAAATTCTAATCGTTATGAGTTGGGACTGCTGAAATTATTGTTATGGGTTGGGTCTTTTGTTAATTCAATTCCCAAGTATGAATTTTGGTTTTTCAAAATGAGATTAATAATAGTTCTAACCTATAATAGTAATTTTAGTAATATATTTTCTTAATGTTAAACTCACGTTTCTAATTTTAAGTAAGGATCATGATTTATTATTAAAATTTTAATAGTTTAGGATCTCTAAAGGTAATTAATAATTTTAAGCCTTAATTGTCATTTTCCCAAAAGACAATTAGACCGATGGGAGAGGGGGAGCAGCAGTCTTCTCTTCCCTGATCTTCCAATAGGATCGGTTGGAAGTATGATTATTTTATTGATTTTTTGTGTGTAATAAAATAAGATAAATTTAATTTTTAAAATTTTAATAATTGTTGGTAAATGCAAATGTTTTCGAAATTAAATAATTTTTTCGTCTATGTCACCAAATTTAATCAATAAAATGCATTATTAATGAATTAAGAAAAATTTTGAACATATATGTGTATAAACTGCATTATTGTTATATTGATTTCTCATAACATATAGTGGCAAAATATCTCAAATCCTTTTTTTATACTTCAATGCAATTTTATTTTTTGGCAAGTATACTTCAGTGCAATTTATTAAAAAAAGTTGAATGTCTAATGCAACTTTTGATACATTCTGTCTAACATTCCTTTTCTTATAATTTTAGTATAATTAGTAAAGTACTGTTTGTAAGAGGATGTAAAGAATCAGAATGCAACTCGCAAGTTCTATTCATGTTCACGTTTAGAATGACACATTAATTATTTGTTGAGGGTTGGACATAAAAATCAATTATCAATGATTCTATTATTTTCGATAGAAAGTTAATGATTTATAACCAAGGGTATGATTTGATAGATATGGGTTTTCTTAGGACATATTCGTTGTTTGCATTAATTCTTTAAAATGTTTTTTATTTGTAATTGTGATGTGTCATGTTAGCAGGTCCCACGCTTACGAGATTTCACGAGTCAGCAACTCCGGATCCACTGCAACGCACAGATTGATATTCTTGGCATATTCCATTCATGAATTTAAAGCAACTTCGGACTCATTGGTCTTGATTTAAAGTAACTCACATTCTCCTTCATGCAACTTACAAATAAATTAGAGCGAATTTTATGTACAAAAGTACTTGTTCAATGGTTAAGATGAAGGATGACAATGTAAAATAGGTTAATTCTCTAAACCGCAAATAAGAGTAGCGGTTGTACAAGTCCCTTGTGAATCAATCTACATTCTTTAATTCTGACCTCTTATAAATTGTTGTCAAGTCCACTAAATGACGCATTGTAGGCCTGCCATGGGGACAATTCCATGGAGATTTCAGCTCAGCCAAATGCCCCAGAATCTGAAACATAGAATGACCGATTTTCATTAGTGAAAAAAAGAAGTTGAAGGTTAAAAATATTTCCAGATTTATAATCAGCTAAACTAATTCTTATCCTGAATTTCTTCTAATGGATGTGCCTTCTTTTTTAGCGAGGGGGAAGAAGCTGGGGTGATGATTACAGCTTACAGGAACACATCTTACTACCTTCTGCATTTCATTTCTTCCAAGTGGATCTCCAATCATAATGGATGATCGACATGCACGCGATGCCAGCATTGCACGAACTCTTGGAGGGCAAATAGAATCTGAGGTGTCCAGCTTATAACTACCAGTAATGGAGCAGTCCCCTTGATCATCAGCCAACGTAGAAATCAGTTCCTTAACATCTGTTGGAAGAAACACAAATCAATAATCACTAAAAACACACTATTCAATTAGCAAATATATCATCAATATACATTGTATAAAAGTAAAATAAATACTTCGCATCTGTTGATGTGACGGCTGCTTTTCTTTTTCTATTTATTTTGATTAATTAATAATTAAGTTGCTTTTTTAAACTTCAAACTGTTGTCAAAAATTTTTGATTTCCCGTACAAGTATAGGAGATGGGTGTTAAGTTCTGATATAAGCAACCGTGCATAGTTGCATGCATAGAAATGCCAGATACTTGTTAATCTCAAGAACAAACCTCAGGCATTGGGCTGTTTTTTGAAAAGGGGAAAAAATATTTTGGTGCCAACGAATAACTGGACAAAAATTCTATTTAAAGATTATTAGCAAGTGCATAATGATTTTTTAAGGTAAAGTACACACGATTCTTGAACTTGATTGGAGTTGAGGATAACACCAATTGGGGCCATGTCCACAAACCAAAAAAAAAAAAAAAAGGATTAAAGAAAAAACAGGATAATCAAAAACAGAAAATTATGCATCTTTTGCACAAGGAGGTTTTCCTTTTGACATACCTTGATCATATAACTCAAAAGAATCACTTGAAGTAAATTTAAAACCAAAATCAGCAGAAAGAGCTAATTACCATCAATTCCAAAGACTATGTTTCTACTAAAGGGAACAGCCTTTAATTTATAACGGCATCCAGGCAGAGCATTTGGATCCTCTTCCAACGTAAAGCCATTCTTTCTGGAAATGGAAATAATGCAAAATAACATCATCAAACCAGATTAAACCTCAACTATGACGAAGTAAAAAAAAAAAAAAAACCAAAAGCATAGAAGTTTTGCTCTCACAAATTTAAATTTAATATCAATTAAAAATGCATATACGAAAGTAGCAGACAAGAGAGAAAATTAGACCAAGTATTAATATTGTAATCCATAAGCAGGAACTCGGATGCAGTCTTAAATTGAACCCCTATCTGTCAGTAACTGTAGCAATAGTAGTCACAACCACAATTAAAGAGACATTAGCAGCCAGGAATTGGCCACTTGAATAGTTCGGGAAAATATCAGCAGGGGCAGTGGGGAAAAGAGTTTGGTAACTCCAAAGCTCAAAGCTTCCACAGACACACAGTCTCTTCTCGGCACTCTAACCTGGCAACCTGAAAGGCAGTGCTATTTAGGCCGGCCCGGTCTTGTAATGACACTCTACCTCAACGTTCTCAGTATATGGGTGAAAGCTGGATTTGGGACCGAAAACAAGGAATGTAAAAGGAAGGTATCCAAGCATAGATATTTTCAAATTTCAATAGCCTCAGCCTACAGTTGATCACAATGAAACTAATAAACAAAAAGATACAAGTGACAAAAGATGAGGATGTCCATTCCTTTAAATTAAAAGATAGAAGAACATAATCACCATTGCATCTTAACCCAAGTATCAGGTTGATGACATCAAGCATTGAATAAATCCAATATAATTTCATCCCAGATTTCTACATCTTATGCAGTTCGCAGCAGCAAAGTATCTGGCCATACACCATTTAAAATTGTCTAGGAAAATCATAGGATTGATTTAGCATAACATACTGCAGTTTGAGCTCAGCTGTCAAGCGATCCAAGAGACTGATATGTGCTGTTGAGTGTACCACAGTAGATAAGAGAAAATTAACTACTGGTATTATCTATGTTTTCTGATATAGCATTACATAATTCGTATCTTCTAAAAAAGGTATTATCACTGGGAAATAGGAATATGTTTAAGATATTAATATGGTTATTTTCTCATATCATGATCAGAAAGAAAATGAGAAAGTAAATCAGAGCATATTGGGAAATACTTCTGTAATGACCACAGCAAGCTGGACAAAAATAAAATTTGCTTGGTTCAAGATTAACATTACAATAGCACTATAGATATCTATTTTCTGAGAATAACCTGAAATAAGTTGAAGACACACACACACACACACACACACACACACACACCAATACTTCACCAGCAGGGTGCCACTCATACCTGATTATGTCCATTTGCATTGAAACAACTATTTCTTCTTGAGGGGATAACTCCAATCTTAGAGGCCTACATTAATAATTTGAAAATAGTTTCAAACCTTGGATGAATCTAGAAGTTGAACAAATATGGGAATGAGATTACTCAACCATGTTTCATCAGTGCAGTGTAGATAATACAATATAGGGTTTAATTAAAGTGCTTCAGCTATCAAGTTTTTGCTCTGAGCAAACAATGTAACTTTGAATTGAACAAGTTCCTTTACCTTTTAACACAAGCGAATGCAGTATTTGATATGAAAAGAAGCATAGTATCTTACCAAGCAATCGCAATTTCAAGTGCCATAATCTCCCTCCTCTCCAAAAACAACAAAAAAGGGAAGAACAAAGTACAACTAGAAAGTCAAAAACGTTATAAACTCCAAACCTAAGCAAAGGCTGCTGATTCAAGATGGTTGATTGTGAAAGGCGTTCATAATTGTACTTCTCATCAGCAGCATGCTGAAAATAGATTATTGTGCGTTAAGAATTATTTTTCAATACAAAAATAAACTGAAAAAACAAATTTGATGAAAATAAAACATTTTTATTGATTAATCATTGAAATTAATGGAGGTAAAAATTATAGATATTACTAGTTTAGAAGCCTGGATCAGAAATTACCTGATCCACAATAAATAAATCCTGATCCAATTTCCCAATGATAAAACCAAGATTAAATTGCCCGATCACCTACAAGCTCAAAGCAGAGTAATCAACAACTTATTGTAGAGCATGTTTAATTTAAAAAGGAAACCATGGTGGTTGACTTACTAATTCAGGCATTGATTTTTAATAAGGGGAAAAAAAGTCCATAACTTACTAGCATTTTAAATGCTAATTTAAATCAAGCGAGGGGGGAACCTTCATTCTGCTGAAGTCTTCCTTCTTAAAGAGTCTTTCCAATTCAGTTGTTGCAGCATATAAAGCTCTTTCTTTCTGCTCTTCAATTTCCAGCTCTGAAAACTTTAAGTTTGCGGCAGAATAGCACCTAAAAGTAATCATAAAATGGTCAACTGATTAAACAGCATGTATATAATATTTTCAATTTCATACAATGGGTATCTTAAATAGAGACCTTTTGACATTCACTTTTTGACATCTATAATTACTGGATTGCAACATGAAAAGCTTCTTCTCTCTCTTTATCTGAAGGTCTTGAAAAGAAAATTGCAAGTTTGAGCATATCTTCTGATCAGACGATTTCCTTGAATTAGATGAGCAAAATTGACGGTCTGAGACTGAAACATGCTCTGAGATATGGATCAAATCAGTGCTACATGGAGCAATTGATGCTGCATCAACTAGAGATGCTTCTTTCACTTGATCTAACTCCTGAAATCAGCATACTCAATGTGAAAATTATACCAAGAGCAAGTAGGTTTTTCCTTTTCAGATATAAATTCGAGTAACCAAAAAAAAAAAGAAAAAAAAAACTTGCAAATGCAAAGCATCAATAGAAGAAAGCCCTCTAACCGCCTACTTGTCCACCAAGGAGCCTTAAACTAAATCGTTTGTTAACTACCAAAGAGAAGCCACAAGCAACCCCATCCTTATCCCCAAAAAAAAAAAGGAACAAACCCATCCCAAAGAAAGTCAAGGGTCAAATACTTGCCTCAAAATACAAGCAATTTACTCCAACAATATAGGCATCAAGGAATAATGAGCAAAGCAGTTCAGATGAAAGGAGGACATAACCTTGTTTTAGCATCTTAATACTATTGCAAAATGAGACTTATTAGAAGGATCTCTACTATCAAATAAATTATTAAAAAAAAAAAAAAGGTATGCAAGTCTTGTTGAAGGAACCAAAAGAACGCCCACAATAGACCAGGGATCATTGATGTAAAAAAGACATAAAACTTAATGGAGAAGCCTAAGATCTTTGGAGTCCTCATAGAACATGGCTCAAGCACATAGTCTGCATTTAATGAATGGATGGTTCCAGAACAGAAAATGGGGGCATTTATTGATAGCAATTCAAATAAATTTGAGGAACATTTGCTTATAAACCCACATACCATTTCAGGTTCTCTGACACTTGAATTGCCAAGAGAGGAAATTAAATGCTCACTTCTGTGGGTACCGTCATGATGGAGTGACGGTCTTATAATCAAATCATGTGTTTCAGAACTCACAGTTTTTGGTCGACAATGATGAGATTGATTTCTGAGGACAGGCACTTCAGATAAGGTTGTGCTGATGTTATCATGCTTTCTTTTATTTATGGTAACAAATTTGTTAAGAGTTGACTGAACATGACTTGAATTATTATATGAACTTTTATTTGAAGTAACCCCATTGTCAACTTTTTTGAACACAAAAGCAGCTTGATCAGGCATTGAGCCATTAGAGTGCATTGTCTGTCTTCTACTTATATCGGCCTTTAATGTTCCATGGGCTCTAAGTGTTAAATCCTTTCCCAATGCGCTTCTATTATTCTCAATGTCAAGCCGTTCTTCAACATGAAAGCATCGGTCATCAGGAACAGGTTCAGAAACAATGTAGGAATTGTTATCATCCTTCTCTTTCCACTCCTCCTGAGGAACACTAGCATTATTGCATTCAGTATTAAGCTCCTCTTGAGAGGTAATGCCATCCATGATAAGAGACTTGCAATGAGAAGAACACAACTCAACGCAGTCTTCTCCCACAGCAGGCTGTTCAGGTTCATTAACAGAATAACGAGCACTAGTAGGAGAGTAAATTTGCTGAAATCCCTCTCTCAGGGCATGCAATAGGCAACTTTCTTCAGAAAAAAATATCTTCCTCTTATCAGGAGTCACATTCACATCATATTCTCTAGAAGGAACTGTAAAATCCAAAATCGCAATAGGATATTGCCGTGAATTTGCACCTTTATACACTTCATTTACAAGTTTGCTGACTTTAGGCATATCTACTGGTCTACCATTAACAAAAAAATATTGCCTATCTCCTAAATGGCGTCCACTCCCCTGTCCAGGCTTGGAAAGAAAACCTTCAACCTTGCAACTATCAGATATGCACAATGTCACAGGCTCTAAGCAGCTTAAAGTGTTCATGCCAAAGACTGTTACAATGTTATCTTTAAGAGAACCACTTCCCTGGGTCTTAAGTACCACAGACCTTGCATTTTTCCCAGTTGTGTTAGTGCAGATAAAACGAACACCTTTGGCAATAAGGGCATATGCCTGAAGAATTGATGGTAGAAAAGGATCAATTAACAAATAAAGATATGATTAAGAAGAAAGAATATAATTTTTTTTGGGAGGGGGGCAGGGGGAGGATCTATATAAAGCAGAAGGGATGTAATAGCAATACTACTCTACAACAAAGGCAAAGGGCCAGTACGCTCTAAATTACTGAAGTGAAGTTTTTGTGATGCATCCATGCATAAAAGGTCAACAATAAATATCCCAGTAATACCGTTACCAGCACTCCCAAACATCAGTTTGAAGAGAGCATGGGACTTTGATTACTTGCACCAATGTACAAGGAAAAGATCCAATAAAGGTTGGTGTGCGCGTGATAAAAACCAGGTAAATTGTTAAGAAATGCATAATGATCCTCACTATAAGATCAAAATAATCGTTTTTTCTCCGAACTATTTCAGTATTCATAAATAAATTGGCATACCAGAACAATTTTTTTGGGAAGTAAGATGGGTATTTAAAGAGAGTTCTGGCGTGTGCATGTGTTTTTCTTTTTTTTAACATTTTCTACTAAAAAGAAATTGCATTGAATGAAAGAATCAGAGAGTACAAATTCACCTAACCTTGCCATGGAAAGGATACTCACATTCAACAGTGAAACTAACTTTCCGTACTCCTTGCGTATGTTACGACCAAATTCTTTACTTCGGACAGGTAGATTGGAAAATATTTTTTTAACAGTGACAGTGGTGCCAATTTGACGTGCAGTTTTCCTCTCAGCTACTAATAGACCTGAATGGTCAAAAGTCAAGTGCGTAGCAATGGGCTCATTCTTTGTTCTTGTTTCAACTGTCAAACTCCCTAAAGTACAAAGGGAACTCAATGCCTCCCCTCTAAAGCCAAATGTGGTTAGAGACTGAAGATCAGGAAAATCTGATAATTTTGAGGTGTGATGCTTAAGTGCAAGAACCTGCAATAATGTACAAGCAATAATGAACTGTTATAAAATGTACGACTGTAAAGTACCTAAACTGAATCAGCATGTGAAGCATATTTTCTGATTTCTTGATTAAGAGAAAGCTTCCTGTGGTCAATTATCTATTATCTCAATTACTTTTCACCCAAACACCCAAACAATGCCCCTTAAACTTCTGAGCTATACATATGTCAAGCTGAGAAAGTCATGCTTAGCAACAATAATGTAAATTGAGAAATTGATCATTGTGAAACTTTTAGAGAGGGAAATGACAATAACTAGAAGAGAAAATAAAGAAAGAAAACTCTACTTATAACCCTCTTGCTAGATTGAGAAGTAAGTAGCAAATATGGTCCTATCATCTGCTACTTGCTACTCAAACACCCCACTAGTAGCAGATAATAGGACCATATTTGTACTCTCTCCCTCCCCCTTCCCCCAACAGCTGTCAGAGTGGAATCAAAATTCTGATTTGAATCATTTGGCGTCTAGCAATAAATGGCACCGATTTGCTAAAATCCAAACAGAGCATCCGTTCACCATTGACACTGATTTTAACAGATAACAAATTCAAATCAACCTGTAAATACATTCCATGTCAAAACTTGGGACTTTCCTCTTTGTTCAGTGATCAAGGCAAACAATCAACGACAAGATTCTTGGAGCCATCCCAACCTTTTCAAGCAAGTAACAAGAATTCACAATAAACAATAAGGTAAGTCATCCAATAGGCCTTTACCCACATTCCGCACAGCTTGAAAAGGGTGCAACCCTTTTTATCCTACATCATGCTGAATGCTTAAGAGGTGAGACTTGGGTCCCAATCTCTGGACACTTTCTCACAAAATGCTACGCAATCCTGGAAAAGCAGTATATTGATCCCAACATATGTTCATACCATGGTACTAGCCAGATCTGGTCAAGACACTAGACCATACCAGGGCCAAACACTGGGCTTCAATATTGATAGCCCAGAAGAAAAAACAAGTCAGACATCAAGTTAGGCCAAAACTTGCCCGTCCCATGCACCCCCAAGTCAAATGCATTCCTTATCATACCCTTCATGATTATTCATAAAAGTCACCATTTCCAGAACCTACAATGACAGACATAGTACCAAACCTTGCAAGCCTGAGATTCTCTGATCAACATTTGCAACAGATGCCTATACAGTCGAAATACCCTAACTCTATATAAGTCCCTATCCATTAAGGACATCTATCCCTCGTGCCATTTCTACATAGTAAAGTTCTCATGTTCATTTCTGAGGTATAGATGTCTTTAGTGGTTCTTGGAACCAACACCAAATCCTAGGGAAATAGGACTGTTGTAGCTAGTGCCCCTCAGGCTGGTCATGTAGATCAGTCCATCATAGAAGGGGTTGTTTTCAACCAGAGCATAGAAAAAGGAAGTAACAACTTTTGCGATTCATTAATCTATGACTGCTCACAAACGATCTTCTATGACTATCAAGGACACATGCAGAACCGTAATAACCACGACCTAAATACCACTGATAAGAAATAGAAGAGTAAATAGAAAGAAAATTGAGAAAGGATAGAGAAGAAAGAAGAATTCTAAACAAACTCCATTAAGACGGAAGACAAAGTAGACAGTGGAGCAACACTGCTTATAACCCTCTTCGGAACCAGTTCGGCCATGCCGACCCACTAACAGTTCCAGCAAAACATTCTAAAACTTAAATATATGATGGGAATGTACAGGTGCAGCTTAATCAAACACAGCAATGAGCTCAACCGCTAATTATGCTTGTCTTACTAGATTTCTGGTTTCGGTGGCATCCCCCTTACTACATGCACATGCGAGCGTTCTCTCAAACTCAAACGAACTTAAAATCAAGCCAAAACACCTCAGTTAGCGTGATAGAATACCTTAAAATTATTGGGACAGATACCACACCCATTATCGATGACCTGGAACCATTCTTTGCCATAATCTTTCAAAGCAATTTCAATGCTAGTCGCGCCAGCATCCAAGCTGTTTTCGACTAATTCCTTGACTGCAGATGAGAGGTCGAGGATCACTTGCCCGGCACAGATTCTATGAACAACCGCCTTATTTATAGGCTTTATAATTGACGAATCAACTGGCATTGCTGCTTGCCAAACCCCAATCAATAACCCGTCACCTTTTCGAGTTTCTCTACTGTATCAGTGGTTGGTCGATGACCCAACTGACAAAACCCCCCAAATATTACTAGCATCGCCTACAGCTATTGATTGGTGCTTGGTTTGCAACAAAACGAATAAGCTTGCAGATTTTACCGCCTAAACCGAAGCGGGAATCAAAACCAGTTTGTTCGCAGCCTGCTTACTGCGGGAAAAATGGCCAGCTAAGTCGAAGGTTTTAATTTCTTTCGTCCCGAAACCGCCCGAGGGTTTGCTTTTGATTTTCTTTTTAATATAATTTTTAATATACCTTATTAATTTTTAATTTATATTTTTTAATCTATTGGTTTATGTAATTAATATTTAAAATATTTTTTAAAAGAACTATCCCTTGATTTGTTTTGTCCAGAAATGATTTCCAATTGAAGTAAGCCGGGGAAAAAAAAATTGAACATAAGATAACTTGAAAGTTAACAAATTAAAGGTTAAATGGCTTAAATCCTGAGCTATAAGTACATGGATGATTTCAACTCTCAACTTATATAATATACATTTTAAGTTTTAAACAATTAAATTTGAGGCAATCTCACTCTCGTAATTAAACTGGACTAAATGTTAGTTAAGTGGGCTCCATGTATTATGACATCTCCCTCTTCTCTTTCTCCTTCTCCCTCCTTCTTCTCCACATCTCTCTTCTTCGGCTCCTCTCTCCCCCCTTCTCTTTAGGAGTGAGCATTTGCTTTGTCGGTTTGGTCTTAATTTGAGAAAATTGACAAACCAAACAATACTAATTTCAAATCGAACCAAACTAGATTTAATGATCGAAGCACAGTCGAATTGAAATTTTATGGTTCGATTCAATTTGATATATTAGTTATTGGCCTTGTTTTTGTTAAAAAAATTTATCAAGAACCATAGGATTTGAATTTCGGATTGATAAGTAGTACAACCAAAGGATAGAAACAAAGAGCATTAGCGCAAAAGAGATTCTTAAACATGCACTAGAATCCTACAAAAGCAGTAGAAATGAACAGAGCTTGATGGACTAAGAGGAGGAGGAAGAGGAGGAAAAGGAGATGGCTCAAGACTCCGCCACAAAGCTCGACAAGAAGCAAAAATGAAGAACTTGCTTAGACAAAGTGAGAAATTGCAAAAGAAGTGGTAGCTCCTTGCTTGGAGTTGGATGAAATCGAAAGGAATGAGTGGTCAAGAACAAGAAGTATGGAGGGCACCACAATGCAATGAGAATTAACTAGGGTAAAGAGTGCAATGTAAGCTAATGAGACTACCAAATGGGCCAAATGGGTTGTGCTAAGTTTCTTTATTTTATTATCTCTCCTTTGCCATTTAATTTTGAAAATAAAAATAATTATTACATGTAACTATTATTTTATTTTGGTTAATTTCTAGTTTCTTCCTCTCCATACCAAACCAAACCACACAAATTAAATTTTTTTCAAAAGAGAAATCGAACCAATCATTTAAATCAAATAAACTGAAACGAATAGATCAAATTCAATTTGGTTCAATTTTACACACCCCTACTTCTCCCTCAACTTTTCCTTCTCTCTTAGCATCTCTCTTCTCCAATTGACATGCGATGACAGATGCATTGTAATTAGGGGACAGAGCCTATGTCATTGCCATCAATCTTCTTGTCACATTTTCAGCAACCACCAAGGTTGTCATAAGATTGTCTTTATGAACCTAGTCCCACAGCATCATACCTATCCAAGTTGATTGTGCTATCAAAACCATGTTCCTTGGCTGGTCTAAGTACACAGGCCATGCCACTCTTATTTGCCAAGCTACTCCAAGTTGAAATGCCTACGTGGGGTTGACTAAGATGTGAGGGGGCAACATGGTAGGGAAGGAGATTGTGAAGATGAGATAGTTTTTGTCAAAACTTACTTTGGAATCCTGAATATAAATAGACCCACAGTGCATGAAACAATTCCTCATGATATATGTTCACACACTTGTAATCTCTCTCTCTCCTGACTTGTCTCACACTTTCACAACTACTTAAGTTCTTTATTCTAAGTACTACTTGAAGATGTATCAAATTCCACAAGCAAGCTTGCTGCTCCATAATCTTTGTCTTTACACCTTTGCTGCACCTTGTAGCTCCGAATGGGTCTGTGGTGGTCTTGTCAACATGCTTCAACTATATGCTGTGTCGCAAGCGTTAATAAATAGTAGCAAGAGAAGAGAGAGGGGGAGGGAGGGAGGGAGGGAGGAGGGGGATGTCAGAATATACAGGCTCATAGAGCAAATGTTTAGTCTAATTTAATTGTCCCTCAAATTTAACTATTCAAAGTTCAGAATATATCGTATATGAATTTATGATTCAAATCGTTCTTAGACTTATAGTTTAAGGTTTAAATTTAACTTAAAAATTAAATGAACGTGCACGATAAATATATTGAAACGAATTATTAGACTTAGAAATAAAAACTTACAGTGTCATAAATATTATAATTATACACTGATTCCCATAATCTCCTAAAGATCACGTTACAAGATTTCATTTTACTGTTAGTAGCGCGCGCGCGCTCCATGACTTCCAGAATAAATGGATTCTCAAGGTTTGTTACGTGTTCAGTGATTACTAATTTTCTACGGTTTCGTATTTATATTTGTATCAATGTCAGCCATTGGTTAATATTGAAGATACATAGATGGAGAATGTTTCCTGAACATTTGAAGCCCCAATGTCAATCAGAAACGTTCCTGTTGCTTCTACTCCTTAAAATGTGCTCTTTTATCAAGTCACTTCTACCAAGCTGCTTCTCCTCCTTAAAATCTTCAATAGAATTACAACGATAACTACCACGTTCTGTTAGTTTGCATCTCAAAAAATGAGATTTTTATTTTCTGGCAGTTTGTTTCTTCTGAATTAAGTTTAACCATAGAGACAAGGGTTACCGGCTTCTCCTGGGCAAGGTGAGACGTGGAAAAAACTTTTTTGAGGGAAGCACCACACTTTAATGTAGTTAACCATACTGTTCCGCGACTTTGGTCTCTTGTTTCTGGTTCATATTCTCTTTTATTATTATTAATTTTTTGGCTGTATACTTGAAAAATAAAATTCGAGAGCCTATTAAACAGCACGACACTTAAATCGGTAGTTACTCGTCATATATTTTTTTCCCCCTTTCCTTTGGATTGAATTTATAGATAGTTAAATCCCTCGATGCAGAAAATGCGGGCTCCATTAGTATGATTTGTATGTTTTGAATTAGAAGCACAAATGACATGGTGCTCTAGGAGGACCTAAAAATCTCCTCTTGATAATAGAATATTGGAAGAACCTGTGCAGCTCCCCATCATGATTGTCAATTTACACACTGGCTGGCCATGCTATTCTAGCAAGTCCTTGAGGATTTACTAGCCTTTAAGTTCTCTATGTTCATTGTCTCCTTTTCCACCCGAAAAAAGTTCCCTATTTTCATTCACCTAGTACCAGATATACAGTCAATCCCTATGTTCATTCACCAAGTTCCAGATACACAGTCAAAACTCAAAACTACATCCTTCTTTTTCTTTCTTGGGCTCAAGAAACTTCAGTCCCAGGATACCAGCACGCTTGGTTACGCCATGCAGCCGTCCTATTAACCGCACAACGAGTCATTAGAACAAATACAGTAATGGCCCATAAGTGTGCAAGTATATTAGTGAAATCTGCTGCTATTGTTTGCGTTCTGCTTCTATGAGGGCCCAAAAAAAAAAAAGGCCTACTACTAGAAACAGTCCATCGGATGATACTTCTTTTGCTTAGTTTCTTGGCGACATATTTTCCGGTAATTCCATTCAACAGTATACATGAGCTGAGGAATGTAACTTAAAAAAAAAAAAAAACAACAACAAAAAAGAAATTCCAAGACTTGTAAGGGATACACCTCTCGTTATACAGGGTTAAAACAAAATAGAACATTAGAAACGTCGGAAAAAGAAATAGCCTGTTGGATTCACCTGCGCAGGTATAATAGATCTGAAGCATCAAATGTGTCCTGAATCATCTAAAATACTAGGGCTTCTTGATAGAAATTGTCCACAGAAGATCTGAATCAGATTGTACTGTGACTAAATCTCCTTTTACTATATTCGATGTGCTTACTAAACCACCAAACTTCATCTCCGTGTCATCTGAAACGGATAAAATAAGATGTTACGTGTCAGACTCCTCACAAACTAGACAACAGCAGGCCGAGGATGAACTAATAAAATAGTGAAAAGATGATGCATGAGAACCATCTGTCCCATCAAACCATATAATCATATTTGCACATTGCGTGTTCTCAGAAATTGCTAGTAAGTTAGTTAATCACTCGTAACACAAGATAGGTGAATCCTCTTGGCACAGCATCAAAAAGCAATTTTCATGGTGAAATCTCGCAGGCAATAATTATCATCCCTTTAATAATGTAGTTCATCACTCAGAAGCAGAAAGGAAAATCTCTGCAGAGCTGCAGTGCACAAACTACTACTGCTATATGAAAACACAACTTTTCAGTAAGGAATCGTAGACAATAATTGTCATTCCATTCATGAAATGTTTAAGACAGGCACTTTTTATTTAAATTCAATTAAAACTTAGAAATAAAACGATCTAAAATTAGCAATCATATAATAATAATGCTAATGTCATATACTTACTGAGATCCCACTGGAGCCCAGTGGTAGTAGAACTTCCAGATGGCATCCCAATGGGGATGAGCCCACAATGTGGACCCTCGACCGAAGATTGAATGTGGATTTTATGATGGTAATTCATTGGAAGAAGGTGAATGAGGCAATCGTCAGATAGAAGAATAATTCGAGTATCAGAGAAACGGCACAGAACATTTATGTTTCCAATCTCATGGTCAAATCGCCCACCAAGTGCTCCAGTTACAAGAATCCTTAGCTGCCATACATTACAGGAAATGAAGAAATTAATTTTATGAAAAAATTGTGGTGCCATAGAGCATTAAAGACTAAAGCAAGAATACACAATTGTTCTTTACTATCAAAATGTAGACCAAAGAAATAGAAAACAAGAAGTTTGAACCGATTTTACTTACTGATGATTTATCCGTATCTGAAGTACAGTCATGAATGTGTTCGACACATTTGTGTAAATCTGTGGTGTCCTGATCTTGAGATTCATCTATTATATTAGTTCCCTGCAAGCATCAAACAAGCATACATGATTGAAAGATTGCGTGTTAGAATCAAAACAAATGACAACAAGGTATTGACAAGAAAGTTGAACCCATCTCCTCCAGTTTGGAGACATCACACGCATAAACCAATAGAGAAGAAAAGCCGCATGCAAACAGAGAAATAAAGCCATACCAGGACTTTATAGAAGTCAAGTACTTCAGACCGTATTGAATCCATGTCACCTTTAATTGCATCTGGCATGTACCTGATAGAAACCTATCAAGTTATTGTTAAATGAGTTTGCAATTGAAAAAACAAGATAGCAAACCATACTTCAATCAAAAAAAGCAATAAACTAATTGCCTGTAACTCACTAGCTAGAAAATCAAAATTGCATTATCTAATCCAACACTCCACCAACTTGACTCGTGAGATGACTAAGTGAAAATTGCATGATCAAAAGTGGAATCGTAAGATGACTAAGTGAAAATTTCAGTTAAATAGCGTATACCACTGATATTGATTTTTTAAAATTAAAAAAAAAAAGAGAGCTTGGGCGAATTGGGTCCCGAGAGCTCAGCAGGGCTAGAGTTTGCCTCCAAACTCAAAGAGTACTTACAAAGATACTTGTAGATCGCCCACTAATAAGGTCCCAACATTGGTAACAGGATTTGATCCCACGACCTTGTAGGTTATAAGTCAAATTCTTATCAACTGGACCAACTTTTGTTGGTCCACTGATATTGATTTTAAAAGCAAGACATTCCGTCTACAGACACATGTAATGAAAATATTTTAACCAACCAATTCACAGATGTGGTTGACTGCTACTTATAGAGGAGATATAAGACGGATTGCATATTTTTGTCAATGAAACAGTAAGCACAAAACAGATTGGATGACATGGATACAATATCAAATGTGGTACCCAGTAACTCAATCCTATGATTAGTTTTTTTTTATAAAAAAAAAAAACCAAGAAAGAAGCGAGTGCTTTGTCTGTGAGTAACAATGGTTGGAGTAATATATCTATTGAACATTAGCAGGTCAATCGCTTTCTTAGATGATGGCATGGATACATTTTTTTTGGTACGACAATCAGCAAATGATACAATATGAATAGTCATAGCATATACCATACATCAACTTCTTAAACATCGTCAAGTAATAATCTCATAAGATTAGGGCTGTACTTACAATTTAGATGTCCATGGTTAGAATGGAAAGGGATTGAATCTCTCCATTTCTTTATTGAATCATAGAAAAAATGGAAAAGAATTTTGAAAGTTAAAAACCACGTCTCTTTTAATCTTGCATTTCAATTGCATTTTCTGATTCCATCACTTAAAACATTAACAGTACCAAAAGCATTTAAGAAAACCTGCGCCAGAATAGATACAAAATTTCAATTTCATAGCAGTTATTTCCAGACCTCTCAGCAACTCACTGGTTAATTTATCAATCACATACATCAGAGGGCTGTGTATAATAAATTTATTATAAGATTTCAAATCTTCAAAACCATTACTTTAAGTACAATGCTTAGCCTTTTTGTCCCACAGTATGAAACTATTATATCCCAATCATCATTTGATCATGCTAAAAAGGCTTCAGCATAGTATCAAAACCATCTTATGAAGAAAACAACCATCCCAAAATATTCTTTGGTCAGAAAGAGAAGTAGAGAAGAAGGCTAAAAGTAGAAAAATCCAATCAACTGAGAGAATTCAGGCATAGCAAACTATCAACAAAAAATGTACAATAACATTCAAGAAATCTGCATGTGAGGATTCTCAGGCTTTTTATGAATCAAGCCAAAATTTTGATGTCAGTATCTTAGATATGTACAAGCTGACAGGTGCAATAGTTGAACAAGAAATAACGTAATAAGTAAAATATCATTCCTATAGTATATAGATTATTATTATTTATAGTCTAGGCTTTCGTACGTTTTCTCAATGTACAAGCATTTCAAGCATGCACAAGTATAAAAATATGGACAAGACAAGTTAGCACGTATGTACAACTAGTATCCAAGGTTAACCTAGCTAGTACTAGGAACCAAAATTATTTATAAATGAAATATGCAGATGCAATAAAAACATGATTGCAGATGCAGAGAGAAGACTAAAAAGTAAGTATTAAGGAATTAAAGACTCACGAATAAAATCAGCTTTCTTCTGCTTCCTTGCGAATAACACAAGTCATAGCTAGTCTCAAGCATCTTAGACCATTCACGACACCAAATTCTTGAGGTGTTGGCTTTCGGATTTCCAAAGACCTAGGGTAACCTATCTGCCTTAACTCAGTAAATCCGGAAGATACCTTATTTGGGAATGTATCTAAGACTTAATTTTATAAATCACTAAATGATAACTACATTTATCTACCCTTTAATCAATGTAATTCGAACGCCTGGTTCCTCACTAGACTTACCCATATTGGCTATACAGGTTTTTACAGCCCAATTCCTCAAACCATGGCATGGTTTACTATAGAGAAATCGCTAGTATAATTTCACCGCTCCGTCCCTCGCGACATGCAAGATTCCTCATGCTAGATAATAGCGATCAAAAGTTTAAAACTTCATTGCAATATCCCCCATTCTCTTCATATCATTCAGTAGGAAAAACTAATTGTTAAAGCACAAAGGCACATTCATGAAGGAAATGAAAAATAAAATAAAATAGATATACAAAACGATCACTCAGAATACACCAGAAAGAAAGTATCACACTATAGAAAGAAAAAAGAAAAGAAAGAAAGAAGTGCGACGAAGGACTAGACACGCAAATGGCGTAAAAATTACTTAGTTGAATTAGTCATTTAGCTAAGAAACTATTAGGAGTTGAAAATGAACCTGCTTCGAACACATGAGGCATCTTCATGGGGCAAGAGTAGAGGCATTTCATCGTATAACCGATTGGCACCTCCATCAGCGCATACTCGTAGTTGTGCTGTGGTACAGAAAAACACAGAACAACATTGAAAAGAAAGAATAAATAAATACAATAAACCTCAGATAATCTAAACTGAAGAAATAAAACTCCATCCGCAAAATAAAAGGAAGAGAGGTGGGGTGCAGGAAGGCGGTACCGTGCTCCCAGAGCAGAGGAGCGAATCTCGGCAGGGGCTGGTTCAGAATAACGAGTACGTGAGTTAAGGAAGGGCGGTTGTTCTCCGGCGAAAACACAGGCAGAAGAAAGGTCGAAGAGTGAGACATGGACTCCATAATCTGCGACGGGAACGACGATTAGCATCAAGAACAGTGGTTATTGAAGGTTGATGGAAGCTCGAGGCTTCAGGAGCAGAGAATCTGCCTCGTTAGCTTTTTTGATGGGTGCTGGCTTATTCACGTCCGACGATTGTTGTGATATTTAATGATGCGAATTACAAAATTACTAAAACTAATATTTCCACTAATGACGTCGACCATTTATATCAAGTCAAAATACACGCGCTCCTCCCAAAATTGACAATGACAATCGACGGACAGCGTCTCTCACTTTCCTTCCTTATGACACGTTCGCGTCTATTCTTTCCGTTGGCCAATATTTATTTCCATTGATAGTGATGGGGACTCCAACTTGACTTACCTGCGTGACCAGAATAATGAATCATTCACCAGAAGCATCATACCTCACGCAACAATATTCATTCCTATCTGATCAAATCTATTCCAATTCTGATTATGATTTCCAATAATCGTCACAAAGCAGGCATGGATCCTGGACTTCGTTCATGGGGACCGAATTTTGAAACAGAATTAATGTTGTGGACCAAAAAAGTTTTCTGAAATCAGCTATGGGTTTATGTTGTTCCGCAGACGCTAGAGCTTCTCTTTTATTGAATTAAAATATTGGACTCAGAGTGCAATCCACCCCTCTGGTGGGGCCTGAATCACATCAGGTCAGAGTCAAAACTACATTTGGCAATTTTGTCAAAACCAGGGCTTGGCTTGGCTTGGCTTTCAGCTAGCATTCAACATGAACCCAATCCGTCCTCTTTCTCCCATGATAAGACCCTATTTTTTATTTCATGATAAGATTTTTTATTAAGGTTAATGCATTTCAACGTTAAATTATACGTCTAGGATATTTCAATCCTAAACTCATTTTAATATTTCTCTTTAATTTTTAAAAATGGTATAATATTACTTATATTTTTAATAAAAGTTAAATTTAAACATTGATGGATTAGAAAGTTATAAAAAAAATATCTAAAAAATTACAGGAATGAATTAAAAAATTGTAGACAGTGACCACAAAATTTTTTTGGATCCTTTTTGTAATTTTGATATCATTATCTATAATTTCAGAATCAAATAATTGATTTTGACTTTTTATAATAATAATAATAATAATAATAATAAAAGTATTTTTTATTTTATGTGTGATATAAATGATTTTGAATGAAGTTAATGCTTCATTAAAAAAAATCAAAAATAAAAGATTTATTGCCTAAACTAGCTTTAGCGGTTTAATGATTTAACGTACTTCCTGTATTTCAAAATATAAAACATTTTGGATAGAGTAATATTTTATTAAATGTATCAATTTTAATATTATTCTTTTTCTCTCTAAAATTAATTTTCATTCATTTTCTTTTCAATATATTAAATGATAGGTATTATGAAAAGTTTGTTTTTTTATTTTAAAAAATAAAATTATTAAGCGTATTTAATGAAATTTATTGATATATAAAATTTTATTTAAAAGTGTGTTATAATTTGAAACGAAGAAAGTATTTACTTTTATTAAAAGCATGATCTGATTTTACCTCTTGGTCTCATGATTCACACAAGATTTAATGCAAACCATATTAAGGTTTAAATTAAAAGGTTAATAAAATTAAACAGACGAGACCTACATAAGAAATAGTTAATTGTTGCGCGTTGGGTTTGGAGAACACGGACACACTACTTTAAGCCGATTAATTCAAATTTAAGCGGACACAATGTGGTTCATATGCTGCTACTTCCCTGCCATCTTAACACTGCTATTACACTAGCAGGAGTACAACTACAACTACAACGGAATATTAAAATAACAGAAGATATGACTGGAAAATCATTTAGAGATGGTAAAATAAAATTTGAATTTAAATTTTAGATTAAATATCACATTTAAATTTCACATGTTTAAAATTTTTTATTTGGGTTTTATAAAAAAAAAGGGAAAATCAATCTGTAAGTCTCCCTCAATTTTAAATTAGTTTCCTATAATTTATTTTGTTTCAATTAAACCTTTGTGGTTTGATTAATTGAATTTGTTAATCCTTAAAGGTTAAAATTAATAATAGATTAGTAAGTTTTCCAAACAAAAATAATTTTAGAGTTTATAGAAAATTTAAGTCAATAGTTTTAGCGAAATAAAAAAGGAAAATTTGATCTAATACATTGTTTAATTTTTTATTAATTTTCAAAAAAATTTATAAATAAAAAATGTAAAATTAGCCTAATTTTATAAATTTTGAGTTATAAAAATTACGTAATTATTTGAACAATTATATAATAATTTAATAAAAATATAAAATTTCTCGATTTTGTTTTTTGAAGAAAAAAATTCAATGATTTTAATTTTTAGGGGTTAAAAATTAGTTAATCAAATTATAAAAACTCAATTAAAACAAAAAAAATTGCAGAGATCTAATTTAAAATTGAAAAAAATTATAAAAACTTGCAAATATATTTTCTCTAACAGAATTACACTAATAAAAATGAGTTATGATACTTACATGACTTGTTTAGAGTTTTGAAATTCTAAAAAAATTGAGCGGGTTTGGATCAAATCCAAAATTATAAAATTTCATGTATTCAAATAAAAAATTTAGTCCAAATCTAAATTAAAATATTGCCTTTGAAATGATTTAGTGTTTTTTATTACAATATTGTTTTTTATAAGGTTTTTCAGGTACCTTCAATTATAAAAATAATCGAAGATGTCAATATCAGGTTTGAATTGGCTTCCTGATAGTGATTTGCTAAGGGTAAAGAAAATATGGTTAATCTATCTTTTCAAATCTATCGTCCTAATAAGTAAACATTCTTGTGTGAGCCTCATTCTTTTGTTAGACATACAACGAAATTATTTTTCCTATCCTTTCCATTAACCCCGCTACCAAGCGAGACGGGAAACAAGGCAAGCGAGCAGATTTGTTCTAATCTTCAGAGAGTTTTATAAAACTCTTCAATATTAACTTGTGCTATACTTAAATACATATGAATATGAATTTTGATTTAAATTTAAACTAAATTTATTATTTGGATAATTAAAAATGTATAGAATTCAAATTCAAATTCTACCTTAAATTTTTTAGAATTTGAAATCATTTCAAAACCCATATTATTTTGAATTTTAACTCAATCTTTTTATAATTTAACTCAAATTCACGAAGGCTTGATTGACTTGCCAACGATAACTAGAATAGATTGCCAAAGTTGACAAAAACAAGCCGCCACTATTAATCGGGACTAGACGACTGACTTCTATAAGAACCGAATTGATGGTGACGATCGAGATGGGACAGCTGACTTCTACCAAAACTGAATTGATAACGACAATGAAGATCGAATGGCCGACTTCATCTAAGATCAGACCTGCGACAATGATAAGGATCGAACGACCAACTTTCATCAAGATTGGACCGACGGCGATGATAAGAGTCAGATGGCTGCCTTCCATCAAGAAAAATAGTGGAACTATAAGCAGATGAATTTACAATAGAAGTAAAAATGCAATCAAAATTCAAAAGAATTGCTTGTACACTGTCTTTAAAAGCCGCTTTAATTTCCACTACTCCCAATTATTATTGCAGCACAACGTCCGCAAAAGGAACAAAAAAAAAAATTTATTGTGACCATCAACAGTAAAAAGAACATCAAAATTCAAAAGAATTGCTTGTACTCTGTCTTTTAAAAGCTGCTTTCATTTCCACTACTCCCAATTGTTATTGCACCTCATCGTTCACCACAGCGTCCACAAAAAAGAATCAAAAAAATTATTGCAACCCGACATGCATGATGCATCAACAGTAAAGAGAAACATCAAAATTCAAAAGAATTGCTTTGCCAAAAAAAAAAAGAAGAAGAAGAAGAAAATATTCAAAAGAATTGCTTGTGCTCTGTCTTTTAAAAGCTTCCTTCATTTCCATTATTCCCAGTCATTATTTTAAATAAAACATTCACTTGCATACGTCAGCAAGTTCTTATCACGATATACTACGAGATTTTGACTTCATGATTTCTAAAAAAAAAATGAAATTGACACTGGGGAGGGGAAAAAAAAAACACAAATAAACGAACAAAACAAAAACAAAAAGCGCACCCAATGGCAATGCAATGGTCTAGATGGGTTTCGACTGTCGAGAAATTCAGCCAAGAGCCAGGAGGTTGAGTCGGAATCTGAGTGCATTTGACCTTTCTCAGATTAATGTTTACTATTTGGAGATGGGTTCCCTCTTCCAAGAAAAGCGTGCGCGTAACCTAGAAGTTCAGATTCAATGTTTGGGAGAACTTATGTTAAATATATTTGCATAGACTTAATTTTAAATAAGTCTATTTTTTTTTTAAATTTTAGTTCAGTTTAAAAAAAATCAAAATTTTATTGGTAAAAAAATCAAAATACCTTTTACTTATTACACAAAATCAATAATTGTTAATTTTCTTATCATGCTTATTAATTTATCAATATCACTTGTAAATTACATCCATTTTCTAGACAATTAGTAACATTAGCTGTTAATATATGAAAGAAAAGATGAATGAGTGAGAAGGATAAATATAATAAATAATGGAGAACACAATGAAAATGAATGATATATGGAAGGAATGATAAATGAATGAGAAAGATGAAAATAATAAATAATAAAGAACACAATGCAAATAAATTATATGTGGAAGGAAGGGTGAAAGAATGAGAGAGATTAATATGATAAATAATAAAGAACACAATGGAAGGACATAACCTGAAAAAGCAACCAAGGTTCTGAATACCAAATGATACGGGACAACTGAATGATAGCTCACAATAATCTGAAATCTCATTGTATGTTATTTCATAGAGAACAACACTAATCGAAATAGTCTCACAATTAAAAAAAATCAATTCATAAATTCAAATCAATTATGAAAAATACAAATGGCCTAACTATTTAAATAGACTTCTAAAAATTAAAATGACGCAATCCTAATTAATTTAGGATTCCAAATGGATAAATCAAATCCTCAATGGATATGTTGTATCCTTATTTAAACTTAAAACAAAATAAACTAATTCTTCTAAACTTAAATTTATAATTAAAATAAGATAGAGTAACTTTCTAAGTTTAAAAAGAAAATAATAACTAAACTAATTGGAGTCATGAGCC